GTTGTGTTGTGCATTTTAACCAGCTGATGGAAGAAGTATTCTTTAAATGCATTCTAAAAATCGGAACAATTTGTATTAAATAATTATTCACGGTATTTTGAAATGTATACCAAAACAATATTGTGTATGTTAATTATCGTGATATATCATATTACCGAATACCAGCACATGTCTACTCTAAACAGTCATTATTTAAATATTCTAAAAATTATTTGAAAAATGTTTGTAAAAATATGTTTTCCTTATATAATATTTCAATATAATAGTAAGATCCTCTATTTTATATTGTATTTATTCTTTTTTATTATTGTGATCAGCAAACTGTGAAAAAAACTAAAACAACAACATGTAGGCCTATCAGTACGGGTGTTGGGTCTTTACTTTAATGTTTTTTTTAAGATAGACTTTTCTTGTTAGTAAATTAAGGAATGTTTTGACTTCTAGAGTAGTGAATTAGTCATGTATTAATTATTATTGTATTGTTTTAAAAAAAATGTTAAATTTTTTTTGCACATTTTAGAATAATAGTAAGGTCCTCTATTTTATGTTGTATTTACTGTTCTTTAATATCGTGACCCACAAACTGCAAAATATTAAATAAAATACAATAAAATAAAAAGTTTTGTAAAGAACTATGCACTGTCTACTATGCTACAGAAACAATGCTAATGCAGAATTATTAATGATTCTTATACATTTGGAGTGTTTTTTTCGTATGCTTCTATTGAATCTCCTGTTTCTACTATGACCATAAAGGTAAATATAAGCCATTTCAGCATCAGAAAGCAAACAATAATGAATTCCCATAAAAAGATAAGAGAAAAAGAAACATGCACTATTACAAGAACTATGCAGAACAGTGCTTGATTCAAGCTGATAATGTTACGGAGAAAGGTGTGACACATACAGTACCTTGCTCCTTAAAGGAACTAGTGGTTAGTGTGGTTAACTCACAATAAGCTGTCACACTCGGGACAAGGAGGCAAACAGGCAGAGTATATCAAAGAATTAGTGTTTATTAACACAACGGAGAAAATGCTTCCAACAGAAAGGGATCAACTTAGAATAACTGGAAGCTGAGAACACAGTCTTATCTGGTGTGGAATGCCAGTTCCTTGGTCGAGAGCAGAAGAATCCTAGGCTTTAGGCAGGCAGGCAGGAGAGGGACCCGAGTTGAGATGCTTGTAACCTCGAGACCAGCCGATGAGTGACTGAGGTGAGTGTGTATTTGACTGGTGTGGTAAGTGGGTGCAGGTGTCCGTGATTAGTAATCGGGTGATTGTGAGCGGGTGTAGGAGGCTGATTCGGCTGGTGAGGCAGGTGTTTCCGTGACATAAGCATGTCTTTGCTCAGCTGCTTTTGTCATCTACTCTGCAAAATGTCAGTGATGACCAAACCTGATAACTGACTAAAAGTAGGTTTGGAAAGTGACCAGTACTGTTACGTTGATGATATGAATGAACATTTAATCTGAATATCCACTGAATTCTGCAGGTCTGCTAATGCAGATTCACTTAAAGGGGTCATATGATGCTATTTTAAAGATAATTATTTTGTGTATTTGGTGTAACAGAATATGTTGACATGCTTTAATGTTCAAAAAACACATTATTTTTCAAATACTGTACATTATTGTAGGTCCTCTATCTCTTTCTTTGCGTGCACATTTGGGTGGCATTATGCTAATATTTCCACATAGTGATGTGGACATGTGGGGGCGTGTTAGAACGAGCCTGTGACGAGTGGGGGCGGGGCCGAGGGCCGTGGGAACGGAGCGAGGCCGGTGGAGTGGCAGGGAACGGGGGACTCCTGCCCGCTGCCTGAACCCGGAGGAGCCGTCGCCGTCTACCGGGCTATCCCCAGCCGCCGCCAGGCATCGCGGAAGAGTTTACCTAGCTGGTGGAGGGCCAAGTGGCAGTGTGTCCAGGAACCGGACCGATCTTTTTTTTTTTTCCATCTCTCCCCTCTCTCATATCTGTCTCTCCTCATCCTTCCGTCTCCTTTTAGCGCTATTTTGTGTTTGTTTACTTTATTAAAGTTTTCTTTAAATGCTCGCCGGTTCCCGCCTCCTTCTTCCCGAACTACGAACGTTTGTTACAGAGCCGTTTTAGGTTGGCGTGGTTGACTCTTAACTTTTATAAAGAATATCTCTTTGGATTTGAGACTTTAGTCTTTGCAACTTAACAGATCTTCTTTATGCACCAAGAGCTTGTAACACTCCAAAGAGGAAGGAAAACTTGAAATCGCATCATATGACCCTTTTAAATGTATTATTCAAAGCAATATAGATCAGTGAACGTGGCATCTCTTGTAGCACAACTACTCCGCACTGTTGACATTGACCCTTTTTGTTGACCTTTATTGTGCTCTTGCCTCAAACAAACTGCCACTGATCATCACTCGCAGTCATGTTGACTTTCAAAAGCTGTTTGTTTGATTGTATGTAAGTCAGGTCAAAGTAAACAAAACAACTGTCACTTTCTTTTCTGACGGTTGTTGCAGTGGCTTATTGGCCCTGACATGTTCCAGTGCCTCTGTTAAAGACCAGTGGTGTCATTCCAGTGCTGACGACGGTCACACATCACAGAGCTCCACTTCTGAAGCGCAAATAGGTGACCCTCCACCTCAGTCTCACGTCTCCCTCTTCTTCTCTCTAGCAACAATAACAATCAATTCCTCAACATCAGAAGGTTCTGAAGAACGACTTATAAATCATATGCATCCCCTGCTGGTCTCTTGGCGGCCAAGTTGACTTTACTGAAGCGTTTCTTTGATCCTGCACTGCTTTGATTCACTTTTCTCTCACCCTTTTAGCTAAACATATCATTGGAATTTCGCTCTTTGTTCCTGACAGGTCTCGTCTTAGCTCGGTTTCTCTGCAGACACGCAGCCCTTCCCAGAGGGGGAGAACTGCTCCGCAGCTCAGACGAAATTGAGTTCTGCTCAAAGATTTATCCTCATCTTTTGAATCGACGCTCTCTTTTCCCCTTCACTCCCTACCTTGACATGTCTGTCCTCTCTGTGGCACAATTGAAATGACAAGGTTGGTGTGGTCAGTGTCATTCAACGTTTCATAAATGCTGAGCACTAGTCTCATTAATCTCTATTACAAGCAGAGATCTCGAAAGAACGGTGGGATGCAGTGGATTTCTGAAACTAAGGTTCTGTATGCATTTATGGTCTGTTGAGACAGTCTTTGTGATCTCAAGAATGTACATGTAGAATATGTATTAGTATTATGTATTAGTATTATGAAATTTCCAAATTAACTCCTTTGTTTGCCTTGACATTTTTTGAATATATTCTCTTGACTTGATCAAAACCCATTCGATAGATATTATTAAAGCTTGAATTGTCTATAAACATATAGGGATGCACTTCTTGAATTATATATACATTTTTCAACATACAGAAACATTATAAAATATTTTTTCTCAAGTAAAAAACATAGTAGAAAAATACAATTAAGATTGAAAGTAAATGAATGAACCCAAGTGTATGTAATGCATTTTTCAAATAAGATGCTTGTTACATGCATGTTACGGGTGAAATTTTGTTTATAATCATAAGATTAGGAAAAGTCATAAAGTATCAACCTGATTATTAAATGTTAAGTATGGTTTATTTTAGATATTAATAGAACGCTTAAGCAGAACCTGGGGATGTTTTTTTGTGTGCAAATAATTAGATAAATAAACAAAACAATTAGTGTACTGGAAGGATTTTTTGATGAGATATGACAAGAGGGTAAATAAACACCAACTCATTTCCTCTTTTGACTTTGAAATATACACTCTGTGTGCAAAAACATGATCATTATCTATTACAAAACAACAGCTCCAGGCTCATAAATGTGACTGTTCACACGTACACTTCCCATGCATCTGCTTTTGTGTGGTAATTAATATCCAACATCTTATATGTGCAATTCACGATAAATAAATTGTCTTTACTGCATGTATTTTATTAAGCCTTCTATAGATCATAAAGATTATTATCAAGCTGCTTGCAAGGTTTGGTTAATGAGACAAGTAAATTAAATTTTTTAACTTACAGTATATAATATTACCAATATTTTGAACAGCTGTGTGCAGTTGAAAAATGTTTATGTTACAGAAAATTACTGTTATTAGAAACATATACTGTATTTATTCATAACACATGATTTTAATTATTTGTGGCACAGTCACAACACCATCTGCTGGAATGATTTTGTGATTGCTAATTGCAGAAGACTAGTAAGCATTGTGGTGTTGAACGTTTTAAAGATCTTGCAAAAATAATTCAGTAAAAGAAAAATAGTAAGTGAAGTGTATTAGCCTGGTTATCTCTCTGACCCTTGATCTCTTCCTTCCTCTCTCTGTGGTTGGTTCTGTGGATATCTGCTCTTCAACTCTACGTGATCAAGAGTTTGTGATGAGACTTTCTGATAATCTGTTCCGGACTTAGTTATTAAAAAAAACAAAACAAAACATAAGTGAATTCTATACCATGAGAAAAAACCAAATAATGGTATTTGGTTAAAAATAACAAAATAACTTTAGATTAGTATTGGTTTTAGCTATCATCCATTACCAGAAGTGAAGCCCTGGCTTCTTTTTAACATCTGTATATTGATCGTTTTACAAGGAGCAAGAAAACATTAAAGTTCTCTTCTGTAGCATCAAAGAACTGAAAGTTTCCCATAACTGGGTAAAATCACCAACAATAACTTCTACCAAAAATCTACTGGAGAAAAATCATACTCCCAAGAAATGAATGTGAAATGAATAAGAAAGAATTGAAAACAAAACAACTGATGTGACAGAGTTGAAATCAAATCCCTCCCTCAGACTACACTGAACCACTGAGTAAGAAGTGTGGTTAAGAGGATGGAAAGGAAATGAGTGGAGGAACAGCAGGGTTTGGTGATTCAGGTGCTATAAATTGTGTCACCTTTTCCTCTGTGCTCTAAAGAATGAGACGTCTTCATTGACAAGTAACTGAGAGAGGGACTTATCATGAACAGCTGGAGTGTGTATCACCTGGTAGTCCTTGCCTTGCTCTTTGCTTCCGAGTCTAGTGCGGAGTATGATGATGGTGATGATGGTTATTATCAATATGGTGAGTATTTTTTTCTTCAGTACTTATAGGCCCTTAATTGACAGAACAAATATTTAATATTTGTTTAAAGCAATTTTCAAATAAGTTGATTACTCATTATTTTCATGTGACATCTATCTATCTATCTATCTATCTATCTAAGAACTTTTAGAAAGTTTTGTAGCTGAAGAGCATGAGAAAAGACTTTGCAATGTATTATGAGAATAACCTAAAAAGTCCCCCAGAAGCATGATTATTAGACTCACCACAAACACGTGTTTTCCAATGTAAAGGTCATACGTTTAATTTTTAGGAATGGAGCGTATGACAAGCACTTTCTTGTCAGTATACATTTAGACATATCTGATGATGATGATAAGCTTGCTGATAAGTATAGCGATGCATCATGGTGCATGAGCTGTCTGGAGAGCCACATCAAAAGGCCTGAGGAGGGGGAGGCGTTCACATGAGCTGGTATATCCTGTATACCCGACAAAGATTCACATCAGATCATGTTCATTAAGTAAAAACCCCATGTTTTCGCAATAATGTTATTCATTCAGTCAATTTCATACTGTAAACTCTCACATATTACTCATACTGTAATCTCAAACAACGTCTGTGAACTCTTTCAGCATTTTCTGCTATGGGTTTTTAAACATTGCTTAATGTTTTTTTTTTATATGTATATATATTTTTAAGCATTTTCTAATGTGATTTTTTTTTTTTTACTATAATATTTAGACCTATAAAAACAATGAAAGTGAGTCTGAGGTGTGATACAAGAAATGTGAAAGTAGCTTCGGTTTCAGTTACAGTTGCGGATAACGTACATCCAGCTGGTTGTTATTGCAAAATAATTAAACCCCGACTGTGATCAGGGCATTGATGCAAAATACTGAAGACCTGAAGATTTAATTTTCAATATAATTGATAAGATGCAAAATGGTGCCAGTTGCGTTAACAAGGCCTGTTATATCTGTTTTTTAGCACTTCTAATTAATTATTGGCAAATATCAGAATGCTGAATGCCAAGATTGACCAGATTTTTCACTTACTGCTGAATTTTGTATGGACCTACAGTACTCATAATTATTCTGCTCTTTTCAAGATGAGATATTAGATATTGACCCGGACCAGATTATTTTTAAGATTAGTAATACGTTGCATGGTATTACTGTAACATGGAGGACCCCAGATAAAAATATAACCCCTGAGTGTTATGAAGCTGAAGTGCAGTTCAAGAGCCAGTGTGTCAAAGACTGGAAGGTATTTAACTCTCACAGACACTTACACATTTGAGCTGCAGAAAGACTCACTTTTAGCCCAAAACTGAGGAAACCAGACTTGTATATGCTGGAAAAATGCTCATGAATCTTACATGCTTACATGCAGGAAGGTCAGAGGATTGAAGTGAAACATAAACATGAGGTGCATAATTTGAACCTGTCCACTGTCAGCATGAAGATGAATTACGATTTCAGAATAAGAATGAAGAAGGAGTGTCAGCAAAAGGACTGGAGCAATTGGACAAAAGTACAAGGTTGGGGAAACAATGCAGGTGCTATTTCTTTGTTTTTGAAAACCCATGTGTTCAGGTTCAAGTCCAGAGCCTGGTTTGATAAATAAGCATTAATTGGTCATCAGCCATAGCAATATGTACTAATATGTACTTACTAGCTTGTACTCTACTCTGAGAAATTCTGGAGTTTTGTGGTTTTTACTCATGTTACTTTGTCTCTAGTATGAATTACTTTTGTTGTTGTATTCTTCAAGTTGGTTTGGATAAGTCAAATGAAATATAAACAGAAGTAAATTATTACATATATTCTTCTGTGTGTGTAAAAAGCTTCACAAATAAACTAAACATTTTGTTCACAGGTGCTTGTATGGTAGAAGCATCCGCCTACATATGGGTTTATATTTTGATAATTGTGCTGCCACTAACCGCCTTTCTTCTTGTTTGTCTGTTGACTCAACAGGGGTGAGTATAAACCAGCACTTCAATTATTATAATATTCTTGACACATTTTTATCAAATGTCTGAACGCTATGACATTCTTTGGTCTTGAAAGAATTAGAAGACTGATCCTTCCTGAAATACCAGATCCCAAACACTTCAAAAATAAAATCATGGACACTGAACAGTCTCAGGTAAGGCCAACGCCATCCACCATATCAGATGCATTAATCTGACAGAATACACCTAAAGATGTTTATAGTTCTTGAAGCTGGAAGAGAATTTGCATTTTCAGGCCATAGGATTCTTCAGGTTTTTTTTTTCTGTTTTTAAAACAAATAAATTACACACAATCACAGACCAAATGCGAATTCTGTCACCATTCTGTGCTTTAAAAATGTGAAGTTGCTGAAGTTGCTAACAAGTTGCTACATTTGGTTAGGTATACAAATATATTTTCCTGTGGTAGTTATAGTGCTTCTGTAGCAGCTTGTTATCACTTTACATTTTGCACATAACATTTCAAAATTCATTTATGTTTCCCAGAGAGTGTTTTTACATGTACAACAAAACACTATTAGCTGTATAAAAACCTGAGAGGTTAAAATCTTTTTCCCAGTATTTCAAAATTTATACAGACACATTGTACACATTGAATATTGTTAGAACACTAGTAAAGCTGTTTAGCCTATGTGTAATGTCAGCTGAGCTCAAACCATGATCTTTATCCAATAAAAGAACACAGTTTAAGGCATTTACACACCTTGTTTTTTTACTTAATATATTTACTTAATTACCTACAAACCCAATGGAAATTACTGAGAAAACTCATGGCAAATTTGCCTTCTGGACTGGCCCACTCTTAAAAATAACGTTTTTTTTTTAAAATTATTATCTATGATTCCATGAATAAACTTAAACATCAGTGGAACCTTTCAATTGTACAAAAAGTTTTTAATTGTGGAAAAAGGTGTTTTAGATTATTAAAATGTTTCTCACACTAAAAAAATTTTTTGGAAACTTTATTTTTTACAAATGTATGAATTGCTCTAATGAAATAATTGTGTCTGTCATTTCCTTTCTAAGTGGTGGGAGAACCTTACGCAGTGGAATGAGGAATGCTCAACAACAGATATTGAGATTATGGACAAGAACGAAAGGGAAGAGCAACATCAAACTTTGGTAATACAGCCCATGGACACCAGCCCAGAGCAACATGACAGCATGTACTGCATCTACTCCTCTCAAACATCTGGTGAAAACACAGAACTGCAGAACTCTCAGAGTGTGTTGGGGTATATCATCCTTTAACACCGCAGAGAGGGACTGAAATCATATCGTTGAGCCAGTTTAATGCTTTTATGATTGATTATTTAATTGGTGTAACACATGGGGTCACATCTTTTATGCTAGCTAGTGTCTCATGTTTGTGATCATCACAGTTTAGATGCATCGCATGGCTCTGTTAGCCCCTGCTGGTAGATCCTGTAACTACACCATCTGGATGCAAAAAGCATCTTTCTCTATTAATGGCCATTCAAAATTAGCCACCTGTTCTGATGCAACTAAAGTCTTTTAAGCAATATATTTCCAGGGTTCTTGCATCAGCCAAACAAGTACCTTTGAGATCAATGGGAATGCTAATTGATATATTTGTCTAGGTATTACAGATCTCATTGGTTACTCCTAATGTCTGTGATCAGGATTATGGTTAAAGCAAGCTAGTGCACAGAAAATCATTTGAGCACATCAGCTCTAAGCAAACAATATGAGTGTAGTACAATAATTGGACAATGGAGGGCACTCTGACTATCCTGAAGTGTTAAAGAAGAGTTGAACCATATCAAAGCCAACAAGGAACACACTCTTCAGAGCATCACAGCCCTCTCTTAAGGGAGGATGTACGTTATTTGAAGACTGATTTAAAAGATTAATGTGAAACTGCATAACAGATGTGGAGTTTCAGTGTGACGGTGTAACAAAGCCAGGGCAGCAGCCACACACTCCAATCTGTTGTGATTGATGAATTGGAATGGGGTGAAGAAGAATATGAGCAAATAATCATTAAGATATAGAAGCAAAAATGAAAGCCACACAGGCGGATATATGAATGTAAAAACGTACAGTTTCAGTTGTACCTGTTGCAGCTTAGAAAAACTGAAAAATGTAGAAAAAACATGAAAAAAAAAAGACATTTTGTTTTGGGAATAAATAAATAAATAAATAAATAAATAAAAAGGAAAATGTACAAAAATTTTAAATGCAATTTTATTTAAAATGTAAAGGAACCTTTAGTGCTCTGCAGTTTTCTATGATCAAGCAAATTTGAAACAGCCGTGCAACTCTTTCATACTAACGGTCAGATTCTAACTTCCATTAAAGCACAAGATGCTCTTTGGATCATTCTAAATCATTTTTAAGAACATGATCATCAGTTTTTACACAAACTTTTGGAGTTTATGCAGCTCGAGTGCTGCTGTCATTAAAGAAAAAGGAGGACGAACCAAATACTACGGACATTCTGATATTCAAGTTAGTTTTTTGTCATGCATTTTTTTCACTCAAATCGCTAGGCTGATTATATAATTGGTAGCTGGTAAATTTGAAATTAGAAAAAGGTTACAAAATAAAATGTACACATATTTTCAGACTTTTGGACCCTACTGTACATGCATTTGACAATACCACAAAAAAACTAAACGGATTCTGTCTTATTGCACACATTATATTTCAATTATTTTTTACACTTTGTAATTTTTTTTTGCTAAAAAATGTAAGTACTTGTGCTTTTTACTTTTGAATTTAATAAACACTTCATCTTTATATCCACCAACGGTGTACTGCTAACTGTCTTTGATACGCAAACCCACTGCTATGGCGAGGGTGTGATTGGGGCTTAGCTACATAAGATTTCCCCAGTAACACCTGTGTGCTAACTGACTAATAGAAATCTCTATTTTTAAGATAAAGAGAGCAGTGGGGAATTACCTTACAAGTTAAAAAAACTTTGATCAACAGAAAAGAAAAAGTTTACTCAGAATAATAATTGATACTAAATAAGATAAACTGCTTTCACTATATGTAATTTTCCATCTACACCTCTTACAGAGAAACTCTTTTCCAAGTAGGGGCACTGGAGGTGGTATTGGTTTGTGTTTCATACATGATAATTGCTGTCCACTAATAAAGGCTAACAATCGGATGTAGCTAGTCACCACTTTACAGTTATATGAGAGTTCGTACCAGCTAAAGTCTTCATACCTCCTCCAGCTTACATAAGAGAAGCAACAAACAGCTTGCTCGATTAATAAAGTATGCTAAATATGGCTTACAGTCATGTTTCTGCAGAGCTATTTTCAATGATAATCAACACTCCCAACAATTACATCTTTACACTTTACACTTTTAATTGTGCTTTTCTGTCTGGCAAACAGGAATTAATTGTGTTCCCTGGTGAATTGTTCTCCAAAGCATTAAGCAAAAACGTGTGGGTCTATCTGTGATGATTTTTACTCTTGAATACCAGGAAACACACACACACACACACTGCAGAGATAAGCCATGCTGGACTAAAATGTTTTCTGTGATGATTTTTACTCTTGAATACCAGGAAACACACACACACACACACACACACACACACACACTGCAGAGATAAGCCATGCTGGACTAAAATGTTTTATTTATTGGAATGCTTTAGTGGGGGAAGACCCAGTTCATGCATTCATTATCATAAAGGCCCCGAGACATTATGCACAAAGAGCAAGATGAGTTCTACAGCACGCGCCTTCTACAGCACCTAAAGAACGTGCAGGTGGAGGAACCTGCACGTGTGTGTGTGTGTGTTTCCTGGTATTCAAGAGTAAAAATCATCACAGATAGACCCACACGTTTTTGCTTAATGCTTTGGAGAACAATTCACCAGGGAACACAATTCATTCCTGTTTGCTAGACAGAAAAGCACAATTAAAAGTGTAAAGCTGTGGCGACATGACATAAGATGACAATGTCAAAGAACCGCCATCTCTAGCACATAAACTGTCCCTGAAGCAGACACTTAAGGGAGATGTAAAACGCTACACATCTCTGCATTGTTTTCACTCTCATCAACTTGTTTTTAATATGCTACGATGAATGTGTCAGGGCCCCCAGGCGGTAAATGGTGGATGACAAATGTTACTGCAAGCAAACCCACTGGAGGCTGACCATATTGTACCTGTGCCGGGCTCCTTGATGCTCCTTTTTATCAAAAAGCCCAAAGCTGGAAGAAACGCCTCTTTTGTCACCTTCTGGGTTGTATTTGAACATGGATGGATGTACATTAAAACAGATGTTGAAGATTCTCGCAAAAAAAAAAAAAAAAAAAACCACGGAGGCCTTTTCAAATATCAATTCAATATCTATTATTTCCTGAATATTATGACATTCAGGAGGGCCGCCCCTGA